GTAAATTACAATTATTGATCTCTTCGACATTGTTACAGTAATTTAGTAATAATTATTACATTAACGCTTACAAATTCAATTTAACGACTTTTTCTTTCGAGTAAAAGCATCATAATGGAATTTTTCTTTCGAGTAAAAGCATCATAATGGAATTCCAGGAAATTACTTGATGCGACTGACTGACTGAGTCTGTCGGTACATGAAGTCCTGACATATGTACTAAGGATGTCAACATAGCGTGGAGTGAGAACATACTGAGTTTTAACAACTGATGTCCCCACCGGGCTTCCGTTGTGATGCACCCAGTGCATCCAACAGGTGACGCTACCTGTTATTAGAGCGCTATCTATTATGAGAGCGCGAATTCAAACGAGATATTCAAACTAGTAAATATTAAATGATTAAAATTAGTTAAATTTTATATTCGAAGTAAATATTCCAGTCCTTTATTTAATGCTTTTACTCTTACCAGTTGTAAAATAAACATCTTTTGGTTAACTCTGTTTTATTTACAAAAGAAAAAAAAATAAAATAAAAAAAAAACATATTTCGGTACAAAGGTACATTGTAACCGAATTTTCAAAACCCATAAAAAGTACTTGAGTAATTCAAGGACTCTCGCCAGATGAAACTTAAAACCCTATGAGGAAAAGTCGTAAAAGACACGTGTGAAATTCAATAGACCCTTGTTCTAAAGTAACAAAGAATAATAAAAAAAAAACATATGTAACTAAACAAAAATAATATTGTTAAATAACATTTACTGTTAAAATCTAACTTTATATAATATTGTAGTTAAGCAAAATTGAGTTAAAATAAAACCATTCCTATATATTATGGGAATCATGCCGATATTACAGTTATAATTATAGGTATCGTTCCTATAATTATAGGAATCATTCCCATAATTATAGTAACATTTCCCAAAAATTATGGATACAATTCCCGTAATTTAAGTAATCGCTTCTAAAATGGTATAGGAAAATATTTCATTAAAATTATAGGAATGATTTCCATATTTTTCTCTCCGTGTAGCAATTTAAAAAATTAAAATATCAAAGCTAATGTTTTCCTCTATTAAAAAGAATCCAAAAAATATAAAAAAATTTATTTGTTAAAAAAATAAAAAAAGTTTATTAAAAAAAATGAAGCGCCTGAGAATAGATTTAACTTTGTTGAGAAGTTGTAGAAGGTGCCATCTATTAATAGTCTGTTTAACTAACATTTTAGCGTTATGATTGTTTAGATTTAATGGTTAAGTGCAATCTATGTAATCTATCTCGTGAAGCAATAAAATAAAATCGAGAGATTTGTTTATAAATCTCATAGAAATAGTTATTTATTAATATGTTATTTTTAACTTATTAGTAAAAAAATTTCTTTTCTTCCAAATAAATGACTGAAAATAGATCAGTTTAGTACATCCTTCTATCAGTCTAAGCTTTAATAGCCCTGATAGCCACCTTACCTATAACTTACTGTCAATCTACGTCCGCAATTTGAAACAAATTTGACGGAAAGACTTGGCCAAGCGAGCGATTACCTATTAGTTACCTATAACTTACTCTGCAAATAGACGTCAAAACTTGCTGTACAAGTATTTTTCCGTCAAATTGTAGTAAAGTTGAAAGGGAATTTAACTACAAGTTTGGATTGTAACTTGTATTCAAGTTGCGGCCGTAGATTTCCGTCAATTTGCTTACAACTGTTGTTGAGTGAAGAATTACCGCCAACTTGAAGGATAAATTAACCGTAACTGTTGGAAGTCAACACTTACTGAGAAAGCGCTGGCTATCAGGGTACATTTTTATATTTTTCCTACCAAGTTCATATAGTCCATTTCAGAGATGTTAATGGCCTCGAGTACATACACTGTATAAATTAGAAAAATGTATAAGGCAGTTAACTCGATTAGTTGAATTGACGAGTTGAAGTGATGACAGAAAGAATAACTATCAGCTGTTTTTGATGAGTTTCAATCGTGTTAAATATTTCGGTACAAAATAGACAGTTAATAGAACGAGCTTTCTTCTTGATTAAAAATCGGACAATAGTTTTCATAGTTGTGACAGTCAAGGAAGAAATTTTTTGAAAGCATTGTTTGGAAAAATCAGATGATTATTTGTAATATTTCTGGACATAATTTAATTATATAATGTCATGTCCAACTTCTAACTAGTAAGTTTTGTTGGATTTATTAATGTTCATTATGATTTCCCTTTATCTTCGTCTATAAGCTTTTTTTCCAATACTTGTTTATCAACATATTTACATAGATAGACATTCCACGTCAAATCGTGCACCTTTGAACTTGATCTCTTCATTTATTTTAAAGTTGTGATACTGACGTCAGCAGATCTTTGTGATCACTTTGAAATTTTTTTTTTTTTTTTTTTTTTCAGCATACTTGTACTAGGAAATTGTATTTATTGTTTTTTATGTTTCTAGTTTTAAATTCTATAAGTTGAATTGTTTTAAGAACTTATCTGTTGAGAAATCGTAAAATAATTTCGGATGTCTAGTTTGTTGATTTTGAATTCACTTAAAATTATACTTTTTTTAGCTCTACTAAAAATGATCTTAAAACTTGTTTCAGATTTTTTCACTCAAAAGAATAAAAGTACGGATATTTTGAAAAACGGCTCGGTTATTTAAAAAAACTCAGAACTTATTCGAAAATTAATAATATGAAACCTTGTTATTGTATTCAATTTTCTTTCCTCCAAACGCATTTATCAGATTAAAAAAAACAAAAGCGATAACATTTAATAACATTCGTGAAAAGCTATGAATCATGAATCTCAGCTGATCATTTTCAAGTTTATAGGTTGTTTATTTTTTTTATAATAGTTTTTTTTTTTACCGTTAATGCCACGTATCTCGGAATAATCTGACTTATTTTTCTATTTTCAACTTCCTACTAAGAAAATGGAAGATTTTCAAAATTCGGACCGTCATTAGTACCAGCCTGATTTAAAAAAATCAAATTTTTATCAAATTCGATGTGTTGAAACTTTAGGTAGTTATTTTGACTGATTTTCAGGATAATGTCTATGTGTTCATGTGTGTGCGTAGACCTCATAACTTGTAAACGGAATGACGAATTGAAAAGCTGTTCGTACTATTTAAAAAGATATATTTAAGATAATATTTCTTGGAAATTTAAACTGAATAGGTCCTGTCGATTTCGAGAAATATTAAAAATGAAATTATCGAAAACAAATATTTATAAAAAAAAAAAAATTAAAGAAGAGAGTTTAATTCCGCAAATTCAAGGTACATCACGTCGACAAACTTTTAAAAATATGTTTTTTCGATATAACTTGAATTTTACTTCAAATCAATTTCTATAACATCATTAATGCGTATCATGTTTTCTTAAAAAATTGGACAAGGTTGTTTCAAACTGAGTTAAAATCGATCAATTTGTTCAAAAAATATCACAAAAAAAGAAATTTTTGTTTTAATTTATTTATCTAACACTACCTAAATTTAAAAAATTCATGATAAATTATGGCTGTACTTAAAGTAATTTTGCTGGTTTACGAAGTTGTCCACAGTTTTGAAAATCCTGTTCTTTTCATGATTCTTTTCAAGTTCATTGATGATATAAGCTCTTCTATTCTACGAAGCATCCAATAATCTGTTTTTCATCAATAACATAGCCGGTAAAGTAATTTAACTTCATTTTGATTGTTTCTTTGAAATACTTTGATATTTTGGAGCTCGAAAATGCATACATTTTTTTTAAGAACTTCGATTTAAAATGTAGTTGATACTGTTAATCTTGAGCTAACTTTTTTTTTCTCTCAATTACTTACTAAATGATAATTTTTTTTTTTTGTTAATTAACATATGATTCCAACTGCAATCGTATAATAAACCGGCGTCACAAGGTTATCTATAAACAAAGTAATATATTCTTTTATGCTATTGATTGCTCGATTTTAAATACATCAATCATCTGATAAAAGAATTTTTATTTAAGAGCTGTATATTGATAATAATAAATATATCGTATTAATTATAACTATTATTAACAATAATTAAATAATCAACTTTAATTAATGTTATATTAACGTTTTATTTCAAATTAAATTTATTAATTGCTTGATAAAAGAATACCAAAAATTTATTTTGAAAAAAAAAAAATTGTTTTAAGTTTAAAATCTTATTTATTGAACAATAATATAAATTTTTTTTCTAAGATAAAAACGTGTCTAGTCACAAATACACACTCAAAACATTTTGATGAAGAAATATTATTATTCTATAAAGATAAATATTTTATCTAGTATCCGTAATTTTCAATGGACCTTAGTCTTAACAAAATTTGGTACATAGTTTTTAAATAAATATCTATGATATGTTCGAGGGTGCGCAAAATTGGTCAATTAATCAACAAATTCTATTTTGATAAGTTTTTTTGTAAAACAAAGTTTAAAAAATTGCGGTCCTCTTGTCATAAAATATCGTGATAAAACTTGAGAAATATATCTTTCATTCTAATCAAAACTACTCGATGGATTGACTTTAAAATCTTATTAAATATAAGTGTTAACGAATATTTTTGAATGTTGAAGGTTTAAGTCTTTAATTAATAATTAACCAAAAATTTATAATCTACATAGCGGGAAGTTAAATGAAAGAATCTTACCCTTGAAATACTAGTGAATTTTTTTCGATAGGATAAAATATTTTAACAAAAACTCTGAGAAACATTTTTAGAGAAATAAGAAAAAATAGAACATATTTAAGCCTGTTATGAACAGAGTAGTTATTTAAATCAAAACAATTATTAAATACGTGGATCTAGAAAAAACTCTGGACAAGAGGGCAGATTTTTTTTTTAAAAGGAACTTTGAGTTTTTATTTCTTATTTACATTTTTTATTTGAGCTATACTCAATAAAATGTAAACTCTAAATAATCTTGTAGATTTAATAACGATCCATTATTAATCTATTCAATTTAAGAACTTCAAGACTAAAAATATCAGTCATGATTACCGACAACGACGAAATATTTGAAGATAAGCCAGGTAGTGATACATCGAGTGTTGAAACTGCGAAAGAATCGCCATCAGTTTTCCGTCATCGTATCCCATGGAGTGATCGAGGATCACTGAGCCATGATATACCAGGTTTACATGAGGTTAAAGAATTACTTGACGATGATGATGCTAGTTGCTTGGCTGAAGAAGAGGACGGTGTTGGATGCCCACTACCTTCAACGCCTGAAGATGACCATCTTCTTGACTGTGAGGTGTGATAATAATTTTAAGAATCACAAACACTAAAACACAAATAAATACATGCAAGACGAATATATAACTTAATTATAATTCTGTTTCAGATGACTGAAGTTTTGAAAGCAGGCGTTCTTAGTGATGAAATTGATTTAGGTGCCTTGGCTCATAACGCTGCAGAACAAGCTGAAGAATTTGTGCGCAAAGTATGTTTCTGTCATTAATATTTTTTCATTTTTATTGTACTTTATTGTAATTTATGCTTATCACAGTTTTTTTTGTAAATTTGATTTCTTAAATCAATACTGTTTATTGACTGAATTTTAAGATTAGCTCTATCATGGAAAAATGGTAAATTTTATAGCAAAAATGTACAGTAAGAAACTTTCGGCAATTAGAAGTTGTGACATTAGCTCAAAGCATATATTCACAAGAAAATAAACTACAATTAGAAGTATCAGCAAATGGATGAGCTTAAAATGTTCTCAGCTTATGTCGCATATATCGCTCGTCAAGTGCTCTTGTCCTTACGTCAATGCCAACAGCTTAATTTTTCATAAAGCCATTCTAAACAATTCAATTATATTACATCTAAACAATTTTCTTAGTCATTAAATAATTTGAAATATTGTGAATTTTTGATTGACGGTAAATTAATTAAGTGAAGATCCCGTTTGAAATTTTAAAACTAGAGTCATTTTGGTGTCAACGTCTTGCATATATAGTTAGTTATCGGTTTTATTTCTATCACAATTAAATGTATTTTACAGAGTATATAATCTTATTTTTATATTAAATATAAATATGAAATAAAGGTATACGCAGACATAGGATAAAAATCTCATTTGGTTATGTATCACATCCATGCTAGATGCAATCTTTTATATTAAGGGCCAGTTTTTCAATCCGAGATAAATTACTGCCATTATGATAAAAAAATAAATAATTCAGCACAGTGATATTGCCTACGAGTGATTCTCCCTGATTTCAGTCACTTATTTTGAATTAAAATAAATAACCATTAGCCACATGTCATAGAAATATTCACCTCCAACTGTGACAAATTCCTGATTGTAAATAAATAAAATGAAAATTAGGAAAATGGATGACCCTGAAGAAGATCCCTGCAAATTCCCGCTAATTCCATACCTAAGCGCTTGAAATTGCACTTATAATGTTGTTGAGCTCTTCAAGCTCCAAATTACAATTTATGTGTTATTTTGAGCTTTATGAGCTCAAAGAGGTAGCTGTTCTATGATTTTGAGCCCTTCGAGCTCATATCTTGCGTTTGACATATCTATTATTAATTTATAATTGTGTTAATTAATTTAAAATAATTTAAATGACACAATAAGAGATATCATTATTTTTATGATATATTTATTTATTTTTATTCAAATAAACGACCAAATTCATGGAGAACTAACTGAGAGCAATATCACGTCGCTGAATTATTTATTTTTTTTTTATTATATTGGCGGTACTTTTATGTCGAATAAAATTTTATCCCGGATTGAAAAACTGGCCCTAAATCTCATTGACCAATTTTCCAAAGAGAAAAAGGTTCACTTAAACTAAGAACATTTTTAAGGAAGACTAAAGTTGTCTCAAAGCAAGAAGAAATTTTGTTAAAACAAGAATATTGATTCTAAAGTGAAAAACTATTTCTTCCTGTATTCAAATATTTCAATAATTTATAATTTAATCGAAATATATATAGAAATATTAATCTATATTTAAGAGCAAACGCATCTTTCTATTACGCACATTATCGATTTATAATGTGTTACTTATATTATTAAAATATGAGAAGTAAAGACAACGAATAGTTTTGTCTGACTGAGCTTGTGTATATTTTTACACAAAATCATTTTATTTTTTGGATATGATTAGAAAATTTTATGTACATATGTTCATAATTTTAAACTATTAATTTTATTAATAAAATAAATAGTTTTTTATGAACAAAAACAATATTACTAGAACAGTATAAACAATATGATAATATTGTTTATGCTTTATTTTCAAAGTATTATCGATATCTAATGAAATGAAAGTATTGGTTACAGGTCTGGGAAGCATCTTGGAATCAATGTCATTTCCGCAATCTGCCACGGTGGCTTCAAGATAACGATTTTTTGCATGCTGGTCATCGTCCACCTTTACCGTCTTTCTATGCTTGTTTTAAAAGTATCTTTCGTATTCACACAGAGACTGGAAACATTTGGACACATTTACTCGGTAATTATGAAGTGTACTTACAAAATAAAAAACAAAAAGATCCAAGCTTTAAAATGATTTAAGTTTAGACTTTCTTCACAATAAAATTTGAATTTCGAAGACATAGCGACTTTTTAATTTTGAAAAAATTTATGGTTTTTCCCCTCATTTAGGAAAATAGTGTATTTATGTGATTTTTATTTTATGAGTGATATTAACGAAATAATCAAAATTACATCTTGAATTACAACTATAATTGTCTTATTTTTTTTTTTTTTTTTCATAGGTTGTGTGGCATTCATTGGGATAGCAATATTTTTCTTAACACGGCCACCTATGGAGATCCACTTAGAAGAAAAAATAGTGTTTGGTACATTTTTTGCAGGAGCAATAATCTGTCTAGGCATGTCGTTTGCTTTCCATACTGTACATTGCCACAGTGAATGCGTCGGCAAATTATTTTCAAAACTTGATTATTGTGGCATTGCTATGCTGATTATGGGTAGCTTTGTGCCCTGGTTATATTACGGTTTTTACTGTGATTATCAACCAAAGCTTATATATTTATCCGTCGTTGTTGTATTAGGTATCACTAGTATAGTTGTCTCTTTATGGGAGAGATTTGGTGAACCTAATTACAGACCTTTAAGAGCTGGAGTTTTTATGGGATTCGGTCTTAGCGGTGTAAGTTATTCTTTTATTAAACGGATTTTTCTAAATTCTTATGAAATGTTCCGGGAAATTTCTATAGAGAATATTTTTCAATATTAAAATTAAAGATGCGGCCATAGATATAATTTTGGATACGTTTATGCCGTTTGTTAAGAGCCTGAAATTTTATACAAGAATATCACGTAAAGTATCAATAGATATCTTCTCTGTTTCAAATCGTCATGGCTGTAAATTTTCAATGAAATTTCAAAAAATTTTCTACTTCAAGCAAATTTATTCTCTGTAGGCATTTCGCAATGAATTTTTTAAGCGCCAATTATTGAAATGTTGAATTGATTTAGTAAGTATCATACACTCGTAGACTAACATTGGTATTTGTAGCTACAATACCAACTTTACCCTCAACTTAAATGTATTATACTTACTAAAAATATATCAAAAATTTACTACATCGTAATATTTATAATTAATTCAGTTACAAAACTTTCATTTTTAATAGATAATTCCTGCTGTACATTATGCAATCGCAGAAGGCTGGTTTAAAGCGATTAGTCAAGCTTCACTTGGTTGGCTCATTTTGATGGGATGTTTGTATATATTAGGTGCTTTATTCTATGCGTTAAGAGTTCCAGAACGATTCTTTCCAGGAAAATTCGACATTTGGGTAAGTTGATTTATCATTATATTCTAATGATTTTGCAAAACAATAAAGGTATAGGAAGAGAGAGAGAGAGAGAGAGAGAGAGAATTAGTCAAGAATTTAATACTAGACTTCGACTTCTACAATTTTTTTCAAATTAAAAAATTCTGCAAATTTATTATTTTTCAAACATTTTTTTCGAAATATTATGTCTATAACCCCAAGCATCCCCGTTAAAAAAAACTTAAAACTATTTCTGTTGTTATATTAGTTTTGAAGATGTTATAATTACAAACTTGAAAAACCTGAAAAATAACAAAAACTTATCCGAATTGAAAAGGGTTGATTCCAACTGAATTGGTCGATTTAACATTGAATGAACCATATATTTATATAAGTTCCATGCCAAATTGATCAATATTGTACTCCACCAATGATTCTCAAAATTTATTAAATTAAAAAAAAAAAACTTTTAAGAATATATCTATTTAAACTATTAATCACATATAATTTATTATTTCAGTTTCAAAGTCATCAAATTTTTCATGTACTGGTGATAGCAGCTGCGTTCGTACACTATCATGGAATCACAGAAATGGCAATGCATAGGATGACTGTAGGAGATTGTTCGAATCCATCGCAAGTTTTAGCTTTTTAACTGGTTTTAAAAATTGAACTGTGTAAATTTTATCATTAAATTGTTAAATTTCTATAAATTAATTTAATTAAAAAAAAAAAAAAAATAAAAAAAAAGTAATTCAAACGCGTGGATTTTTTAAGTTTGTAAAAATCTTTATTTTGAAAATGGGTTTTCAGTATAAAAACATAAACTGTGGATATGTATGCTTAAATACTGTTTAGTATCATTTCAACTATCTAGTATAATTATTTTCTTTTTTTTCTGAAAATTCTAAACTTTATTAATATATTTACTTGATGTTATTTATAATTTATTGGTTCGGGATATAAAAACTCTTACAGTACTAAGGGATCGGATAGTTCGCGATTTCTCCACGCGTCTACAAATGTATATTTTTTTTTTTTTTTAAGTAGTGTATGTATGCCCACTCCATCGATGTCAACAATAATCGGCAACCTTATAGAGTAACAATCATTGCGTACACGTTTACTTGAATTTTTTTCATAGTCAATCAAATATATATTACAAAATATTTTCTATACTTGTTTAATGATCATTTTTATCTATGTAAGTAAATTGATTAAATTTTATAAATGATAAATTTATTTGTAAATTTGAAAAAATAAAAAGTGAAAGAGAAACTTACTTCAACTAAGATTTTATTTATTCTTTTCCCATTAAACTGATATTACTTTTTTTCGTAGATTGTTGAGCTCGAAGTGCTCGAAAATAGATGAAAAATGTATATACGAGCTCGTAGAGTTCAAAACTTAGTAGTAGAAAATTTTTCGTTTTGAACGCGAATATAGCAGAAAGTTTCAAGGCCTGTAAGGTCATTTGTTATTTAGATTTTTTTTTTAAATTACATAAAAAACGAAGAGATAAAACAAAAAGTTCTGATTGGACTGTAAGTATTATTATTATTATGCTTTACTTGTACACCTCTCGGTTTTTACAAGGCTGATTCCTCTTTTTCTCTTACCCAGTTAGCACAAGCGAAACGAAGTTCACGTAAACCTGCGGCCGGAATTTGACGTAAAGTTTACGCTAACAGTAGAGCAACAGTTATACTTACAACAGTTGACGTGAAGTTAACGTTAACTTTCTGCAACTTTGCGTTAACTTTGAGCGAACCTTTCGGAAAATTCCGGCAATAGATTTACGCTAACTTGATGTGTAAGTTAAAGTCAAGTTCTGGGAAACTGTTGCAAATGCAGAGGTTGACACGAAGTTAACATAAAGTTCACGTAAAACTATTGAACATCAACTAGTTGATGGTCAACCTGTGCTAACTGGGTAGCTCTACGCTTTTACTATTTCTCATATTGGACCTCAGCAAGTTCCACCCGACACTTCATTTTTACTTTAATTTTTGCGGCTGTGGCCCGACTTGTGCTTTCTGTACCGTATTTACCCTGAACCTCACCTCTCAGGCTGTTGGAACAGAACCATGGGGAAACCACAGAGAAAACCCATGATAGTACAGTCGGAGCTGGGCTAAGTCTACAGTGATTGATAAGAACCCTTCTTTATCGACCACTGGAGCATTAGGTCCTCCTCCTAGTGTGCAGAGATCCCTCGAGTTAGCCAACGCTGACTAGAGTGGTCACCCAGTTAAGTTGTAGCTTAATTAGGTGATCGCCCAAGTCAGACGTGTGCCGCCCGGCTATCTCTGCCACTTCCAGAGGCTGGCAATGTAACGCACATATTTTTAATTATAATCACTGAAAAATAGTGGTGCGTGCTGGGATCGAACCCGGGTCCCACTCTTTCGAAAAGAGGGCACCGAGCCGACTAGGCAATTGCCCGCCTGATTGGACTGTAAGAAAAAAAAAACAGACAGAGCGTTTCTTTTTCATTTTTCTTTCAATCTTTAAAACAGGTAATCTGATAAATCTCAAAATTTGTCGGGAAAAGTTTTTTGATTGGTTCTAAAAAATGGCAAAAAAATTGAAAAAATATAAAAAAAAAAAAGTTTTTCAAACCATCCGATTTAGCGTGAAATGTCCCATCGTATTTGTGTCATCTTGATATCGTAAACAAATAATAAAATATCTCAGGATAATAATAATAGTGTGCGCCCTTCTCAAACCAACGTTATTCCGACATATATATATATATATATATATATATATATATACATATATATATATATATATATATATATATATATATATATATATATA